GGGGGAGGGACACGGGGTGGAGGGAACACCCCTGCGGAGCAGGAGTGTGAGGGGCACCGGCTCCTACCTCTCTTTGTGCAGTAGAGCCAGCCGCTCCTTGGGCACCTTGAGCCGCTGCGAGAGCCGCCTCTTCAGCCCCTCCACGGTCTCGTCGAGGGGCACGCAGAGCTCGTAGCGCGCGCCCGTGGTCGTGTGGATGTGCAGGTTCATGGAGGGCTCGTTGGGCAGCAGCTCGCAGGCTGCCGCGGCCCGGCTGCAGCTCCTGGCGCTCGGCTGCTGGTCCATCCGCCGCCCTGCGGGGAGCAGCGGTTGGCAGCGGCAGGGAACGGAGGGACACGGAGGGCGGCAGACAAAGGGGAGCACCCCCCTGGCCGGGCAGCGCTGCACTGGCCGCCAGCTGCGCTGCGAGCAGCTCAGGCTCCGCTCTGCTCCTCCCGCTGCCCGACAAGGCCTTAAAGGAGGTCGCGGCGGGAGGGAGGGACGCGGGGGGGGATCCTTCCTACGGGAGGGCCGTGCTGGCGGCGGCGGCAGCGAAGGGGGCGGCCGCGCTCGCTGCTCGGGGCCGCCGCTGCCTCCTCCCCGCCGCCTTCCCCTGTCTGTGGGGCGGATGATGCGGGCGCTGCTGGCGGGGGGGGGCGCGGGGCCCGCAGGCAGCGCAGGGGGCGGGGAAGGGGCACACGGCGCTCCCCCCCCACCGCGTTGCCCCCTCCCCTCGGGGCCGGACCCGCCTCACCGGCCGCGCGAGTAACAAAGGGGGGAGGGGCGCAAAAGTTACAATGTAGCAACGCCGCGGGAGGCGGCGCTTCCGCCCTCATTCACTGCGAGTTCCGCCAATGGGCGCGCGCCGAGCTCTGAGCCACGGGAGGCCACAGCCAATGGCGGCGCGGCCGCGGCTCCCCACGTGGCCGGGCGGCCCGGCCGGATTCCTCCCGCCCACGCGGCCCCGCGGAGCCGCCTCCCCCCCGGCCGCCCCTCCCGCTCCGCAGCCATTCATGAGCTCGGGGCCGCACAACAAAGGGCTGCCTATGGAGCGGGGCCCGCGCCCCGGGGGGACGAGGCCCGCTTGGGGGGCAGCGGATTCGCCCCCCGGCGCTGGAGGAGGCGGCAGCGCTGCGCGGGGCAGAGCTGTCGTGTCGGGTGGGGGAGGGTTGAGGCAAATACAGCCGGGGCCCCCATGGGAAGAGAGGGCGGGCGTTGAGGAGGGGGCGGCCCCGGGGCCCCCGCTTTGTTGGCAGCCTCGGGGAGAGGGGCCGCGAGGTCACGGCGAGGAACGGCGGGGAAGGGGGCACCGTCACCCGTGCCCGGTTTCCCCCTCCCCGGCACCATCACCCCCGCGCACAGCGCTCTCCCCACCCCCTCCACCGCTTCCTCCCGGTGACGTCGCTACCACCGCGAGGAACGGCCTGAGCGCGGGGTGCGGGCGGCCCCGATGAGGGGCATCGCTGGTGGGGGGCCCGGTCCGGACGCCCAGAGAGGGGGTCGGGGAGGGGGATGACCGCGGGGATGGGGTGGGTGCTATGAGTCAGCAAAGCGCGGGCGCCCTCTGCCGGCTGCGGGGCCCCGCCTCCGCCGGGGGGGCTCCCGGGACCGGCCGCCGGGGCCGCTCGGTAACCGGAGTGGCTCCGCGCCCTTCGGCATGTGACGGGCGAGAGTCACCACCCCCAATTGAGACGGGGTTCCAAGGCCAGCCTGGGGACACCCCAGGCGTAGGGTCCCGGCCCTGGAGCGGGACAAACCACGCGCGGCCCGCGCGCGCCGAGGGCTGAAAGAGCCCCGAGCACTCCGGGCAGAAGAGGGACCGGGCGGTGGGACGGGTTCCCGGATGGCCGCCAGCCGAGGGGACCGCCAGCACTGGCGACCGGGGTGGCTGAGCCGAAGCCGCTCCGGTGGGAACCCGCGATCGCGGCCGCGCTCCGCGACCCACGACGGCCGCGCTGCTGCCACTACCCCGGCCACACTCACCGAGCCCGGAGCGCTGTCCCGCGGGTCCCCGGTGCGGCTGGAATTCAGCGGCAGGACGAGAGAAAATGTCCCAAAACTTCCCGGGGGCGGAGCGGAACGGAGCAGGCGGCGGGTCGGGCCCCGGTCCGTGTCCGGCGGAGCTGCGCGGTGTCCCCTCCCCAGCGCTGGAGCCTCTTCGAGTGCTGCCTTGACGCGGAGCGGGCGGGGAGGTGCCCCAAGTTTTATCCCGCACCGCCCTGGGTGGAGCCTGCCGGGGGCAGGGACCGGCCCGGCCCCGAGCAGCACCGGCCCCGGGCAGCACCGCAGGTGACGGGGCCGCACCTGCCCCGGGGAGGGGGTCCCAGCCCCTTCCCCTCGGGGTCCCGGCTCAGCATCCCCTGGGCCCTGCCCCGGTGCCCCCGGGAGCTGGAGCCCTGCTGGGATCCTGGCTCTGCACCCTGTGCTCACGGCACCAGCCCACGGGCTGCCCTGTCTGCAAGGGGGGCCACCACCCCATGGCCCTGGGGAGGGGGCAGGTCAGGCCACTCGTCCCAAGTCGTAGTCCCTCTGTCACAGGGCTTAGGGTCAGTGAGGACTGATGGGTGAGCTCTCCTGGGGAACTGGGCATCCTGGTGTCTCCCAGAGGAGATTCTCTGGTGCCTAATAATAAGGTTGGACAGTCCCCTCCCCTCCAGGGATTCCCGCTGTCCAACCAGCTCCTTTGCAGTCACCATCAGGAGTGAAGCGAGACTTGGCCCTGCAGAAGATTTTGTGCTGCTGGGGGGACCTCCGGTGAAAGAGATTGTGATCACGCTGGTGTCAGTGCAGAATGATGCCCCTTGTGTCGGGTGGCCCCCAGGGCAGCCCGCCCAGCACACACAATGTGCTGACTCACAGCAAAGACCCCACGGGGACACTCTGCTCGTGCCTGAGCTGGGGGCCTCCAGTCCGGGCTAAACTCAACTCCACTCGGCTCCAGCCATTGTCCCCCTGAGGGGCTGGCCGGAGGCCGCATTGTTCTCCCCAGCCCACAGATCCCAGCTCAGGCTCTGGGGAGGAGGCACGGTGGGGCCCTGACAGGGACATCACCATGGGGGATGCCACAGTCATGCAGCAAGGAGTGTCCCACAGGTCCCTTCCCTGGACTCCTGCACCTTCCCTTGCAGCCTTGGGGTGCCCAAGCCCCTACCCTACAGCAGCTCCTGCTCCTTTCCTAAGGAAAGCTCCCATTCCCAGTGCCTTAGGATGCATGGGCCACTTCCTGTATGGTGGAAGCACCCCCACCTCCAGAGACAAAAGCTGGGAGATCCCCACATTCCCAGCAGCCCGGATTTTGTGTGTTTAGCTTATTGTGTTGTCCTGGGAATAAATCGTTAAAGCAGATAGTCAGGCTGGGACATAATTGCTGTGCGGCACCGGAGGCTCTGGCAGGGCCCGGAGGGAGCGTCGCAAACCCCGCGTGGCGGAGCTGCATGGGGAGCGCGCGCCAAGCCGGGAGCCCCACAGGTCCCTCTGCGGCGCACGCAACCCGCCTGGTACCTGCGCGTTGCCGATTGCTCGGGCACTGCCAGCCTCTGTGCGCATGCTCGTGTGGAGCTGCGGGGCGCCTGAGCCATCCTCCTGGGGCGCTGGGCATGTCCTGCATGGAGGGCTCCCCACAGGGCCCACTCTCTGCCCAATTAGCACCAGCAGCGCAACCTGTTCGGGGGCAGTTCTTGGAAGTCCTGTCCCTCGAAGGAAGGGAATTCCTGGGTGCTACTTGTTGGGGAAATCCCCCAGCAGCCCCAGGAGCCGCTTCTTTCTTTTCTTCTTTTCTTTCTTTTTCCCTTTGGACTGGATTCCTGGCTGATTTTGCAGCTTTGGCAACGGGAGGGGGGCGGTTATCGCAAGTGTCTGCATTCCCCTCGCAGCCGCAGGGTCACAGGGCTGGGGCAGAGCCGCCGCCTTGCAGAGACAGGGACAAGGATGAGGACAGAGGCTACGGAGCCTATAGGACACGAGCCCAGTGGTGCCGCCCACCCAGGACCCCCTCTCCGTGACCCTCAGGCCCTGGGAGGGTGCGGCCAGCGCCCAGTGGGCCGGGCCGGAGCGGAGCCAGGGCCGGTGCTGCAGGCCCCGCCAGGCCCTGCTTGCGAAGCTGCCGGCAGCGAGTGGGAGCGTTCCCATGGGCGCGGGGCCAGCGGCGGCGCGGGGCACACCCGGCACGCAGCGGGGCCGGCCCAGCCGCCCGCCCGGCCCAGCGCCGCGGGGTCCTGGCTGCCCCCGCGCCCCTCGGGCTGCTCCGCGCAGGTTGGGGACGGCGGCGCCTGGCGGGGCGCGCAGGGGAGCCTGCGCTCGCTGCCGTGCTCGTGGCGGGGGCGGCCCTGGGCAGGACACCCGGCCCGCGGCGGTGACGCCGGCGGGGCTGTAAACACCCAGGTGTGTCCTTGGAAACGCACACTCGGCTCTGGGTGTCTGCTGGCTCGTGAGGACCTGTCCTGGGGGCCCCAGAGCACCCATGGGCCCCACCTCTGCCCTCGGGAAGGGTGGCGAAAACTCTGGGTGCAGCCGTGAGTCGGGCTGGGCCCAGGGCCAGGCTTGGCTGCCCCGTCCCGCGTGAGGCCGGGGCTGTTCTGAGCTCCCTGAGCTCACGGTGCCCTTGGTGCTACGCGCTGCGTCCTGCTGACGCAGGGGCCATGCGCTCTCACCAGCGCCACCCGCTCGCCCCATGCGTGGCTTTGGCTCCGCTGCCCGGGGACGCAGCTCGCAGCGCCCGGCCACGCTCACCTGCTCCCAGCCAGGGACAGCAGCTGGTTGCTTTGAACCCCCGGCTGCGGGAGGCAGAGAACGACTCAGCTCATCATCCCTGTTGTTGTTTTTGTTGTTCTAATTATTATTATTATAAAAGCTCCTGGCGGCTCCCAGCCCTGGTGCTCAGTGAACCCGTCTGGGCCGTTCTGGGTCCAGCCTGGACAAGGGCAGGGATGCCCACACCAATGCCTGGGGATCAGAGGGGGCCATGGGGGCACCACTGCCAGGCCCGAGGGTTCCCCTTTGCAGGAGAGCCGCAGGGGCTGGCGCCGGATCCCAGGGGGCTCCTGGCCCAGTGCAGGTGCAGGGGCAGCATCCCTGGGACCCATCCCAGGGTGGCCCGTCCCACCTTGGTGCCCAATGCGCTGACACACAGGTGCATACTCAGCACGGCGGCATCCCCGCCCGCGGGTGCTGCACTTGGACCCGCATCAGGAATGTGGGAACCCTCCTGCACGGGGTCCTCGGCACCAGCCCCACCAGGGGGTGTCCCCGGCCAGTGCCCCCATTGCCCAGCTCCAAGGGGGATCAAGGGAGCTGAGTGGCCCTGTGTGCCTGTGGCCCTCGGCTGTGCTGGCACCGCG